CCCCGGGTAGTGGTTGTTCCCCCCGCCGTTTTGCCAGCGGACTCCTGAAGTTACCGAAATAGTGAAGGTCCATGACCTAGTACACTCTAAATGCTGAGTAACTGGTGATTAACTAGTTAGGAACCTGATATTTCCTACGTCCTGTGAAACACTGCAGACTTCTATTTTTGTCATAAACATCAACGAGAGGTTTTTTTAGATGACATTAGTTGTGTTTATAGAAAAAAAAAAAGTGGTAAATGGTTTAGGAAAGTAACGCTAGAGTGAATATGTCTAGAGCCAAACTGGAAGCCCAGTACTGCAAAGGTATATGGTAGATTTAAGTAATAAGAAGAAAAATGATGAATTCTGGTCCAATAGACAGATTTCTTTATTGACTGAAATTCATGCTAGATGACTTAAAGGGCCTGAGTAGGATCTTGAACGAGAAGCTGCCTTTCTTCTGTGCCAAGCTGGCCATGAGAAAAGAAATTTTTTAGCAGTTGGTATGTCTTTATAGCTGATATGATAGAATCGTGCTTCTTACTTGTTGAAGGGCAGCATCTTTGCACCAGATAACATAGCACTGGCTATTCAAGTTTATGTTTAACAACTCTTAGAAATTTTTCTTGCTAGGGACGGAAAACAAAACATAGATTTGAAAGTTTACATTCTTGTCTTTTTTTGAAGACAAAAATAGTCAGTAGAAGCTTGATTAGGAGTCTGTAGTTGCCTGATAAGTGCAAGTGAGCGGCACTTTATTCTCTAGTAATGTTCAGGACATTACAGTGAAGTAACTCCAAATTACTGGTGCCATGCCCTGTTCTGTTATTTGCCTCCATTCAGTTTGCATTGCAATTTATTGAATCACCTTGATTGTAAGAACACCTTCAACTACTACATCAGTTAAGGTCTTTGATTTTGGTTGTTTGTACTGAGCTCACTGTTTTCGCTGGAGTTGAAGATCAGGGGATTAACGTGAGTTAAGGATTCTCTGCCTATACTAGAAGAACGTGCTGAAAAAAAATCACTAACTGTATCTAGTAGATCTCCAATAAAGCTTGGAATACTGTTGATATGAGGTTAAACTGCCTGTCATAATGAAATGAATGGAACAGTGCAACTGATAGTGATACTAAAACTAATGGATGGTGGAAAGTGTGTTCAAGCTACCTTACGTTGAAACAAATCTTGATCTAAACGAGACATAAATTCTCAGAACATCCCTGTTCTCAGGAAGAGCAGTTCTATGCAGCAGGCTCATTTCTGGCTTTTTCCTTCCTGGATTTCTGTTGTAAAGCTGTAAATAGGCATGCTACAACTCTGTTACTAGTTAGAAGTACAGATGTCTTCAAGAAAAGAAAATAGTTGCCAGTGCTGTGTGTTTTCTCTTGCCATTTGTTTCATGGCTGCTGCTGAAGGAAAATTAATGTGTCACAGTCCTGCCAAGTAGTTATACATTATAAGCTTGAGTGTTGAAATGGCATATAACCACTGCTGTTTTCCATATCCTGAGACCTCAAGGATACTGTTCTATCTTGAGTCACGATCCCACGGTGAGAGGCTGTTAATTCTGTGTACCATACATGATACATAGGAGCAAGAGGACTCAAATAACAAGTACTGTAATGTTGACAGTAAGTTTAATTTGTGCTCCAAAATAGTCTCACCTTCCCTCCCTCTGATTCAACAGCTCATTAAAGGAACCTAGTACGGAAAGTCTGAAGGCTTTGTGCACACTAGGACTCGTAAAGCAGGATGCCACACTTGCAACAGCAGCCCTAAAAGAATTACTGAAGCATGAAAAAGGGGGCGATGGGATTTATGAGAGGTGCCTTATTGCATCTGCTGTTTATGCATTGCAAGGTAGAAATGTGGGGGTCCAGAGAGAACTCTCCAAAGCAATACACAGGTATGTTTTTTATCTTTCTTTATGTTGCCTTGTAAATTTATTGCTTTGATTACATTGAATAGTAAGCAAACCTCAGTTCACTTGCTCCATTCTTCTGAAAAAAAAAAATAATTGTTTTTCAAACATGAAGTCTTCACCTAAGGTTGTAGCATCAGGTGACAGCTTGTTTTCTGATTTATGGGATCAAATGACCGAAGTTTCATGGCTTGTTTGGGGTTTTGTTTTGGTTTGGTGGCTTCTTTGGTAGCTAGATCAGTTCACTGTTCTATGAAAGTATTTTTCATCATATGTAGCAGAACCTTCAACCTAGAAAAGTCTCTAAGGCTTTTATTTAGTATTTAACAGCCTCTGGAGCTGTTCATTCATGTCCTGGTTTTGACAGGGATAGAGTTAATTTTCTGCTTAGTAGCTGATACAGTGTGTTTTGGATTTAGTACGAGAGTAACGTTGATACCGCACTGATGGTTTAGTTGTTGCTGAGCAGTGCTTACCCTAAGTCCAGGACTTTTCACTTTCCCACGCTCTGCCAGGAAGGAGGTGCACAAGAAGCTGGGAGGGAGCACAGCCAGGACAGCTGACCCCAACCAGCCAAAGGGATATTCCATACCATCGAACAGCATGGCCAATATAGAAACTGGGGGAGTTGGCCGGGAGGGGCTGATCGCTGCTTAGGGATAGGCTGGGCATCAGTCAGGGGTTGGTAAGCATTGTATATCACTTGTCTTTTCTTAGGGGTGTTGGTTGGTTGGTTTGTGTTTGGGGTTTTTTGTTGTTGTTGTTATATTCCTTTTCGTTACAATTATTATTATTATTTTTATTATTGTTAGTATTTTATTTTACTTTAGTTATTAAACTGTTCTTATCTCAACCCACAAGTTTACTTTTTTTCAGTTCTCCTCCCCATTCCACTGGGAGGCAGAACGAGTTAGCAAGGGGCTGCGTGGTGCTTAGTCACTGGCTGGGGTTAAACTGCAACAATTCTGTTAGCTAAATGTCTGTGTTTAAATGTGTCCTGATTAGCCTTAGCGTTCTAGAAAGGCGGAACTTCAATCAATACCTTTAAGCTAGACATGCCACATAGTCTCTCCAGGTGTTTTTGGAAATATTCTTTATGCAAATCATTTTTCTCTAACTGCAATTAAAATTCCTTGTTCCTCACACTATGAGGTCAAGACCTGTAGTCCTAAAGCTTATCTATTTTCTTGCCGTAAATATTGCTATGCCTATTGTACATTTTATTTCTTTAGCCAGCAATATAACTTCAACATTGTGTTGTTTGTTTTAAATTACTACCCATGTCTATTTTCAACCACACTGTTTTTTGTTCTTAATAGAAAAAGATCCCTTTGGGATTTATAGCAACTGCCTACTGAGTCATGGAAGACCGGGTCCATATCTAAACCAGAAGGTCTAATATCCTTGTTCTTTTCCCAGTTACCCTGACAATCCTGCCCTCTGGTGTCTTCTGTCTCGGCTAGTTCCAGTGTTTGCAGCACAAAAGGCAAAAGTAAGTGCGTTGCTGTAGTACACGTATGCTGTGTACGTCCTGAGTAGTCTGTGTTGTTTCTTAGCTAAAAAGAACCTCACCCTTCGAGTACATGGACATTCACTAGTTCACAGGAAAACTTAACACTTATATACACAAGCACGTACTGAAGTTACATATCCAATTATTTGCATCTTTCATGGGAGAGCAATTCTTTATATTCTTGAAATAAATTTGCAGGAAAAATCTGCTAGAATTATTCCAACAAAAAAGTCTGTACTATGTGTAAGTTTTCTTTAGTTTTATACAGATATATGTGTGTATATAAAGATATGTTAGGATTTGTGTGTGTTCAATTTGGTTTATCTAGTCAGTTTGACTTTTCGCATTAGCCAGTATTTCCTTGCCGCTTTTATGCTTATTATTACCTCTTCTCCAAATAAATACTCTCTGTCTTAATTTATGTCAATTATATAAACAGAAATAGCACCTGAAAACAAACCTCTTTCTATATGGGGCTGAAATTAGAACCACAGCTTATGGATAAGCTCTAATCCTGAATGCCTCTTCCTAATTCTTTTTAAAGAGATCATGCAGTAGGCAGGGAAAAGATCTCATTGTGCAAACTTTGTATTTCTGATTAATAAAGATAAAAAGATCTTGGCATTACATTTTGTATAAAATCTCTTAGTTAATCAGATGTATAACCAAATCAATTCTTTTGTATTTTAATTTTGCAGGGGGGAGCTGTGGCAGGAAGCATTGCACATGCACTTGATGTAAACCATGGAAAGGTTTGGCTTTCTTAAAATGCAGACCTTATACTTCCATAAACAATCCTAAAATCAATTCCGTCTGATCACTTATGTTGTAATGTTAAGTCTCTTTTATGTTCTGTTTATAGGAGGTCCTGCTGGATATTGCAGTTAATCAGTTGGCAGCAGGATGTCACATGTTAGAAGATGAGAAAAACAATCCTCTGAAAAATATTCAGAAGGCAATCCACCTCTGTCCAGGTTGCTCTTTTTCTCAAACACAGTAGTGACTTTTTTTTGCCATCAGAAACAAAATTATTGTGCTAACAAAAAAACCTACTTTTCTTGGGTTGTTTTGTTGTTTTGGATTACCCCTGTATGTTTTGTGGAGAATGCTTAGAGTTGACATTTTAACTTGTCATTCCAAGTGTAGATATGGGGAATTAAACCAGACAAGAAGGAAAAAATCGCTGAGTTTTAAGGCTTGTTCTGAAAACACGGGCAATTTGTTAATCCCTCAGCAGGAGAAGAGATAAGTATTATTAGTATGTTAGACAAAAAGGAAAAAGGCATGTTCCCTTGGAGTCAGTATGCTACACCAAGCAGGAGAGATTTACTCATCGAGCCTGAGAATTTGGTTTGGAAATGTTCTGTTACAATGTGCTGGCTATGAACTATAGGCAACTCTTCTCCTATTACTGAATGATGATCTTCATGAAATGTATGAAGTGCAAGTCTCACGGGGTTTTCAAGTACCAATTTGCACATGATAGTGAAATATCACAACGTTGTTTCTTCTGCAGTAATTTTGCTCTGATGCGTCAGTGTGGCTGTAAGTTAAAAAATTTCAGTTACTTTCCCACAGGTACACACAAGAGTATGACTGCTATTCAAAACAAGTATACTTCACATTTTACTTTGTTAGATGTTCAAGCTTTGTTTCATTTTGCTGGCAAAATTCATTATCGCTGGGATGAAAATTTACAAGGGTGAAATCTTTAACTGAGCTCTGTCAAGTTCAGGACAGAGACCTCTCTGTTGCCTTTCACGGGGCTAGGTCAGGGTAAAGCAGACACTGCAATTAACTGACGCTAGAAGTAGGCACCTATCCCCGTAACTTTCACACTAGTGGTTGGACAAGACTGAGTCTGTATGATGGAAAGCTGTGGATGGCATCTTGGGATTTTTGCTGCCACTATTATGCACTAAGTGATAGTCAAGTTTAATCTGTGTAGTTGGAAGTGAACAGGCAGCTTCAGGTTAGCACACTAGGGGCTATGTGAAAATACATTAGTTGGCTTTAGAAACAGCATCTTTGTCTTACAGTTTGAAGAATCTTACTAGTTAGAGGAAAATAGTTATCAGCTGCCTTGGGCTGAGCTGATGTAAGGGTCTGATTGGATTATGTGCCTTGTTCTTGCTATCTCTTATTTACAGTGTGTGGTTCCATTGATGGCTGTGTTTTTATGCTTAATCTGGTAAAGGCCATTCTAAATGAACTACCAGCATATTTAGAATGGGCATGAGTTGCCTTTAACCATTCTTTTCTAGATAATCCTGCTGCCTGGGCAGTGCTGATGGCAGCCTGTCATGCTGAAAACACTGTTGTCTGTCTGAACAACACTCAGCCAAAGCGAACGGATCTAGAGATGACACTTGTATCTACAGTTTCAGCCAAAAGTAAGCTATACAAGTTTTCTAGTTTAAAAGAGTAAAATGAAATTGAAATGCTCTAAGCTTGCAATAGTCTTCTGAATTTCAGAAACTTGCAAATAAGCTTAGAATTGCTCAGTAGTGGTTTGAGCTGTAACTGTATTTTATCACATATAAATGCTAAATCCTAATGCACAGCTAGGATTAATTATTTAATCCAGCTTGCTTTCCCCTCCAAATCCCAAAATGCTTTTTTAAAATAGTACTTCTGAACTCTGATGCCTGGATGGATGGATGGATGTATTACAGCATAGCAACAATGCTTACAGGAAAATGATAAAGTACTTTTGAGTTCTGTAACTTTTCCAGTAGAGGATAACCTCAGCCTCATTCTTGCTCAGCATCCATAGTGTTTTGAAAACTGGAATTAAAATTCCATGTTTAATTGATTGTTCTCAAACCATTAACTGAAATGGTGATTCTTTTTTTCTGGTCTTCTTGCTTTTAATTTTACCACCTTTTACTGTTCCTACTAATGAAGGAAGCCATGTCAGGTTAATATTCCTAAAAGTTCTCCTTTACCAGATCTAGAGCATGTGACATGGTATGGCACTACAGGATATGCGGTAATCTGTTTAAGTGTTGTGTCTGTTTTTGCAGCTGGAGAAAATAACCTTCCACGTAATTATATCCAGACTCTTGAAGACTGGTGTCTATGTCAAGCAATTACCAGTCTAGAGGAGACTGGTAAACTCTCAGAAGCTGAGGCTCTTTGTACCAAGGTATGATGGCATCATACTGGCAGACTGTGGTAGAGTTCTATAGTAATCATCATTTGGGTGCATTTTACAAAAAGGTAGTCTTTGAATTAGCAGCTGTCAGTTCCATCAGAGCTACAGGGTGCAGTCGTTGTTGGTGTTTTCTTGCCTCCCCAAGATACTTGCTCTATTTGCAACAGCAAAACTGTGTTAGTAGTTGAAACAAGCAGTGTATGACATGACAAAGGTAAGTCTCACATGCCTGCCTTTCTTCATTAACCTGGTATTAAGCAAAGATTACAGAAATTCAAGGCAAGAAGTCCAGGTAGGAGACCTGCAGGGGCCTTAAATGTATTTTGCTCTGTTGTGTTGGTACTCCATTTCAGAGCCACAAGTGGATGCTACAAGTTTAACTATGAAGAAGAAAAATCTTGAGGCAACACAGTTGGGCAAGGGGACTAGGGTGTTAACAAGCCTCAAGTGTGTATTTCATGTGTTCATGAACAGAAGACTTGGCAAAAGATAAGCAAAAAACCAGTTGGACTCAGCAGCACACATTGAGTACTGTGTCCAGCTCTGGGGCCCCAGCACAAGAAGGACATGGACCTGTTGGAGTGAGTCCAGAGGAGGCCACAAAGATGATCCGAGGGCTGGAGCACCTCTGCTGGGGTTGTTCAGCCTGGAGAAGAGAAGGCTCCAGCAGACCTTAGAGCGGCCTTCCAGTACCTAAAGGGGCCAAGAAGAAAGCTGGGGAAGGGACTTTTTGCAGGGGCATGGAGTGATAGGGCAAGGGGCAATGACCTTAGACCAGAAGAGGGAAGATTTAGATTAGACATGAGGAAGAAATTCTTGCCAGTGAGAGTGGTGAGGCAGTGGCAGAGATTGCCCAGAGGAGCTGTGGCTGCCCCATTCCTGGAAGTGTTCAGGGCCAGGTTGGATGGGGCTTGGAGCAACCTGGTCTCCTGGAAGATGTCCCTGCCCATGGCATGGGGAGTTGGAACAAGATAAGCTTTAAGGTCCCTTCCAACCCAAACCTTTCTATGATTCTATGATCCCTGACTTTCATTAAGGAAAATGACTAATCCCATGCAAATATGCTCTTTGCTTATGGCATTTCTGTGTTAACGGGGAAGGGACTTTAAAAAAAAAAGAAAAAAAAAAAAATCAAACCAAACAGATCCGGTGAACATGCTGGCTTTCTAGGGGGAATTACATTCTTGTCTCTTTGTTTTCTTGGTGAGGAGGCGTTTTCCTTTTCTGGCAGGCATGTCTATTGACCTGTCTTATATTAACAAGGATCAGAGATTTCTAGACATACAAGGTGGTATCTGGGCATGGGGGAAGGTTGTGGTGGGTTTTGTTTGGGATTTGTTAGTTAAATAGGTTGGGGAGAGGACAGACAGTACCTGCAATTTGTGACAACACAGTAGTAACATTCTCTGGTACCACAAACTGTCATCGATAGTTTTGGACCCCAGGATTCTAAGAAAGCAATATAACTGGGGATAATGAGTCAGGCACTGCAGTTGTTTAGTTTGAGACAGGCAACGCGATTCCACACTTACTAATAGGGGAAAATAACCGCAAATACTAGCAACTTCTACTGTGTTTTGGAAAGTCTCTGCATGTCAGTGCATTCTTTGTAAAGCAGCAGCTTGTTAAGGACTCACAGACAACATACTTTGTTTTTTAAAAAAATGGGTGAAAAGTACAAGTGTTATTTCTTAGAACAGATCTGGTTTGAGTTATAATTCTTGGAAGTGTTGTGATTTCAACAGGTAAAATAACATATAATTTGACTTGCTGAAGCTTCACATGCTTCACCTGCAAAGTGTAAAGCAACAGATGGCTAATTTTCTGCTTTGCTTTTTTGCATGTGTTTATTCTAAAAAATACTCTATAGATACCTGCTGTTACTGGACAGGAGATGTTTAGTAAACTGCTTCTGTTCCAGTGAGAATAAAGCACCTTAGCTGGGAGAACTAAAATTGCTTGGAACTTACTCAAGGTAATTTTTAGCAACAGGACAGGTTTTTGCCTCCGTTAGCCCAAAACTTGGAATCACTGTGAACCCAGAGGAGAACTAGGAAGTCTGCCATTTACCTAACTATCTTTTTGAAACCTCTAGGGGTAGGACATGTACAAAATTTAGGATAGACTTCAAATGTATTTTGAGGACAGAAAAAATGTTAACCTATTTTCATGTGTCAATTCCTGGAACACTGCTTTGTGCAGAGTAGGAGGACGTTTGCCATGTTGCAGCCATCCTGAGAATGCTTTCAATGCTGTTTTCTGTAAAGATCGAAATTGAAAAATCGAAGTGTCTTCTGATATTTGGAAATGATAATTCTGATCTCATGTTCAGCTTTGTTTTGGTTTTAGGGTTTAAAAAGCTGCCCTGACCACCCAGCTCTGTTTTTGCTTTTGAGACAAGTCCAGTGTAAGCAGCTGTTGCAGTCTTACAAAGAACTTCCAGACAACATCCTGGAGGAGCTTCGCAAGACAGTCATGACCAGTTCAACTTCAGTTGCAGCCTGGCAAGTAAGTGTGGACCCTCTCCCTGGCTTTGGTGTGCCGGTCTCAGCAGAGTATGCACTATAAGTGGGTGATAATTTGTTTTGCTGCTTGGTTTTATTTTTCCGCCATCAGCCAGTGACAGAAAAAACAGCTTATATTCAGTTCATTAAAAAGTTGTTACACATTATATTAACTTTCTTTAATAGTTGAAATTACAAGGAGCGTTAGTAAGAGCAAACAGACACGGAGGCAGGAGAATTAAAAACTTGAGATAAACCCCTGGCACCTGTGTCTTTAGGGACGCGTGACTTGGCATGTGAGCAGAAACCAATGAAATATTTCATAACGCTTAAGAATATATGGAAGTAAATGGTTTCCTAGTGTAGTAATACACAATTCCTTATTCAGACTCTGAAAACCTGAATATGTCTCTTTCTCTGAAATCTCCTGACGTCAGGCATGACTGTTCTTTTGAGTAAGTGGGGTGTCTGCAGGGAAGACAAATCGCTCCCAGTCACAGTGTTCACTCACTCCCTTCCATGGCATCACAAAAGATCTTTTTTAGTTAATATGAAGGTGATATAACTCGCTTCGTATGCTGGTTCTGTGAGACAATCTGGGAAGTCTGTCTGGCACATACCAAGAGATCTTTCTGGTGATGCAGTATATTTATTTATTTATTTCTGAACCGTTGCTGTTAGTTACAGTTACTGTCTTCCTTTAACAAAGTTAGCAGCACATTGTTTAGAAAAATTCTGTGAACTTTTAGAGTCCTTTATGTAGTTGCAGGGTTTATGGTGCTCCCTCTGCCTGTTGAACAAATAAAACCCTGTTTGTGGTAAGATTTGCTAAAGTTCATTTCAGTCTTAGAAGATCAGTGCAAGGGTATTGTAAAGATCATTATCTCACTTGTTACACGGCTGCAGATCCTCTTCCCTTCTGGAACATATGAGTATCATTTGTGGAAAGGTGCTTTTTTGACACATTTTTCTTTGGTGTCTGAAACTTAATCTTCCTGAACTGCAGAACTTAGTCAGATTGGACTCACAAAATATGGGGGCATGCAAGACATGATTGTATCCTGTGTTTTAGTAATATATTTCAAAAATGGAATTAGGGCTTGTATTATAATAATTAGGGCTTTTTCAAGCATCCCTTGCGTAGCCAAGTGTCTCTTGCATACAGGCAGGGAGAATAAGTGAACTGAAAGTGTATGTGATTTGGGGGGAGGGAAGGGTTGTTTCAGTTTCATTTTTTAATCCATGCCACAGATAAGATACCTCTGAGGAAGATCTTTTCAGTCTCCAATTAAAGATGATGTTTCTCAGGGCTTGGATAGCATTCTGAAAAAGCCTGGCTGCTACATCTATTCCTAATGGATAGATCTATGCTTTTATGTTTTCTGGCTCTAGACTTCCTAAGGATTTGATAAATGTTTTGTCTTACTCAGAAGTATCCATCATGATGCCTTATGGTTTTACTCAGTTAGAGGGGGTATTAACTCTGCTTTTTGCTTAAGTTTTTGGCTTTTGTCCAAATGATTGTTTTGCAGGATGTAGGAACACTGCTGAACTACCGTTCTGATGGCTGTTCTACTTTTTGTGCCGTGGCTTATCAGGAAAATTGCAGAGGGGTTGGTCTAGATGACCCTTATAGGTCCCTTACAACCCAAAGCATTCTATGATTGCATGAAAACTGAGAAAAGCTGATCTGGTCGAGCTGCTGTTGTGCCTTTGCATGAGGGTTCTTTTCTCCTTCATATCTTGAGTGCTGGATGTCTTCAGCTGCAAAGAACTGAGGCCAAGGAAAGCTTTTTTTCCTGCAAATGAGTGGATATTTTACTTTATGAAGCAGTCCTGCAGCTTGATGTCAAGGATGCACAATCTCACTAGTGCTAATAAACGTGTTCTAGTATTTCTTTTCTTAATAACTTCCATGCATCAGAAAGGGTTAAGAATTTTGCCCTTTCTAGCACCAGCCATCCTTTAGCTATCAAAAGTCTAAGGACCTTTGCTTAAAACCAAGGGAATTGTTTTTTTGGTAAGAAATTGCTTTCTTTGCTTGGTGATCCAGCAAAGAATATTTCTGAATGTGACTTATGCATCTTGATGGATATCATGTACATATCAGGGATTTGCAAACTTGTGGCTGCGACTGCTTCAAAAAATGTGACAGGACTACAGAATTAAAGAGGGAGGAGTTAGAATCCCTTTTCTTTTCTTCAAAAGCAAATCCAGGATATCTTGTGCTGGCAAGGCAGACAGCAGGAGCATGAAACCCTGTACAGATCCCAGTGTCTACTTCCTTTGCCCCATCTGGCTCCTCCAACATGACTCTGCTGGGTCAGAAATTGTGTTGCCCAAGTCTACACCAATCATCTGAGCTCAGGCTCACATTGTAATGTCATTCTTCTTCCTGGTATTGCTCAGATGGGCTGGGAAAACTTGTCGTTGGTTGTCCATGGGTAGTCTAGGAGACTCCAGAATAAGTTACTGTAGTGAGGTGTACTGCCAGCTCTGCAGGAGACTACATTTTGCTTGGGGGTGATGCGCAGTGTGTGGTTGGAATGAGGGCTGGGTGCGTGGTGGTGTTTTAGCTAATAGTATGCTGTGGTACTTTCGTAAATTGAACTAAATGATATTACCTAATGGATGTGTGTTTTGGTGGCTCCATAACTGATTTGTTGGATGTTTATTTTCAGTGGCTGGCAAAAGTATATCAGTCTCAAAGAATGATGGTTGGAGCAGAGATGTGTTACAGAAAGAGTCTGCAGTTGGCGTCACAGCAGGGCAGCTGGAACGGGAAGTTATCCAGTCTGCTCAGCCTAGCTATGCTTGCACTGGAAATCTGCATGGTAGGATAATCAAAATTGTGTAACTGCATGATTTAACAGAGTTCATGGGATGTAAGGCTTCTGCAGTCTTTTAGAGAAGCCCCTGTTTAAATGACTTCGTGTGTTATGAATGACAACTAGAGAATAAAATGAGACTGCTAGGGACAGTGGATGGTTTTTAGAGTGCCTCTTTGTAAGAGAGGTTGCTGTGAAATAATAACCTAGAACCACTGTGTATGTAAAGAGGCTAATTTGTTCGGTAATGCTTATTTCTGTAATAACAGACTTGGTTTGATCACGCAAATTGACATACCTTTCAAATCTCCATCCTCTTGTTCAGACAACTGCCTTAATAAATGTTTTTCTTGCACCAGTACCTGGAGACTTCTGTGAAGTTTCAAGTAACTTTATGCGGTATGGTCATGTCTAGATATGGTGCCTTGCTCTGAAGTATAAAAACAATCTAAGGGAAGTGTACCTTCTGGTATAAAGAAAATTATTCTAGTCCTTACACAGAGGGGCCAGGTGAACATAACTCAAATTCTTGGCGAGTGTATATTCTCTTTAAACATTGTCACTCTATAAACTTGAAGTGCAGTACTAGCCTTCTTTAAAGCCTGGTGTAAAGTGTAGATATGGCTGTGATCTTGGCTAACATTTTTTCATGCATTTTAACAGATGATCGAGCTAACAGCTATAATCAAAGTCCGGCAAAGGAACCCCGTATATCCTGAGTGCTTATATAAGAAAAGGCAGTCAGTTTTACTGAGGATAAAGCTGCAAAGCTGTTGCTCCTGGTGGGAAAAGAGAATCTCCCTCAGTGTAGACAAGTTTCTTTCTCACAAGCCATATGCTTCAAAAGGCAGAATTTGTGAAGTGACAGGATTTTTCCTCTCATGATGCTTCTGTCCGTTTTCTAGTGGTCTGATCCCTGTTTCTTCTAGCTCCTAAATGTCTCCAAAGGTTACAAGGTACCTTCTAACTTAATTAATACTACTTCGTCAAATGCTGGCCTGAATTGCCTGAGAATATACAAGACTTTGTTTAAAAATGTAATTAGTACAAATTTGATTATCTCATCTCTGCTTTTTGCATGAGCAGAGCAGCTGACGAGTGAATTTCTTTTTGGCCTCTCTATCTGCACTGGCTTAACGAAATGTGCAAAAGCCTGGTGAAAACCTTGCTCAGATCCAAGAAAGCTCTGTGTTTGAAAATTGTTTGTCTCCCAGTTATCTGTCCAAATGAAAATTCAGGCACCTCTTCAAGTACAGTAGTTTGAATGCAATCTGGACGCAATGGGGATAATAAGATTTTTCTTAAAGCAAAAGATACAGGGATTTGCTCAATAGTTGCCCTATTAGGTAATTACCATCACGGAGTTAGTTTTTACTTCTGGTAAAATATGATGTCACTTCAGGGGATAAATTCTACGTTCTAGAATAGTCTTGTACATGGGATGAAGATTTACAAGTTCAAGAGCAAACAAGAGTTTGTGATTAAAACAAACATTACTAAAACATGTATGGAAAAAGTAAAAAGATTCTTCACATAGAAGAGCAAGTGGAATGCTGGCAAGGCAGTCCTAGAATATTTAATGTGACTTTTCCAGGCTCTTCTAACCAGTGTTTGTTGATTTATTTTTTTTATATTTTTTTTTTTTAATAGGAATCTCCTTCTAGCCTGCCACATACTTTATATAACTCAAAACAGCTTGAATTAAACGTGCTGTGTAGAGAGCACAGAAACTCATTTACAGTAGACACTACAATAAAGCCCTTTTTTTTTTTCTTCTTCTTTTTTTGGTCTTTTTTTTTTTTCTTTTATCATAGGCTAATGTCTCAAATGAGCGCTGGCCATCCTTGGTTCAGGAGGCAACAACTGAAGCTTTGAAACTTTCTTTTTGCCCTCTGGCAGCTCTCCTACAAGCACTGCTACAGTATAATCGCAAAATGGGAGCAAGGTATGCATGATCCTGTTAAGTTTAAATGGAACACACTGTCTAAAAGTACAAGCAGTCATTATACGTAGATCTAACTCCAAGAACTAAAAGAAAATTGGAAACTAAAATTAGTTCTTGAAGTAGTATGGCAGTTAAAAGGGAGAGGTGGGGGAAGGGGTTCATAGTGTGGGGAGCAGGAAACAGCAGAATCTTCCTCCTTTCTCAAAAAAAAGCCCGTATATGACCTTCATACCCAGAGAAAAACAGCTATAAGACAACTCTTACTTTGATAGCTTGTTACCTAAATAAATTAATCAGGAAAACTATACATTCTCAAAGATCTTGTTAAATAGCACAGTGGGAACAGCTATCGCTACCCTATCTACTGCTGGGATTCATCTTGACCCTAAATTGGGCTCGCAGTCAAAGTTTGTGTTCATTGCCAAACAACCCAGTGCGCATTGTGGCTTTTTGAGGAAAGGGAGGAAGATTAGGGAGAGGGGCCTTGGAAGCCTCCTACTTTGTTAATTTCGTTATTAAGTCCAGTGTGTCTTCTACAGTATTTTTGCTTAAACTATGGGAAGTTGGAATATTCTTGATGTTTTTGTTCAATAACTTCACCTGGTTTTATAGATAATTCTAGTAAACTGGCTTACTTTCCCTGTGGGCTTTTAAGAAAGTGACAGGCAGCCTAATGTGATTGTGATGGTGGTTGATTGTAACAAAATTGAGCTGAAAACTTATTTAATCAATGAAAATCACTCTTACTACAATTTTAGATGTTAACTTATGTGAACAGTAAGGTATATCACAAAATCTAATTGATCTGCCTAGATGTTTCAAAATCCTGAAACAAGAAATTAATCTTAAGTACAAATAGCAAACAAAAAACAGATGTAACCTCTCAACAGCCTGTTAAATCACAATGTACTGGAAAATCACATTGGTTATAAAGGATAGAAGTCTTGAAAAAAGAGCCAAAGATGATGGAGCACCAGTGAATGAATGTGACATCCCTAAACTTAATTGTCATTTTTTACCAAATTTCTAATGACACGGTGAATTTGAAAATGTCTTGGTTAGGTATAAGCTGACAGTATTGGAAGATAGTATCAGCCAAATAGAATTTTAGACTTTGCGTAGTACTCTATTCCAATTTCCTTCTGTTCCGCAATTTCACAAATTGCCTCTCTGTTTGCAGGAACAGCAGTATCTTTTGTAAGTGCCTGAATAAAATATATTTGTGTATAACATTAAATTCTATTGTGATTATTAAGATTTATGGCAGTACCTGCTTCTCTCAGGTGCACTGCCTTCCAAAAGATTTATTTCAGAGCTCTTAAACAGGAGAATACCTGCTGTAGCAGATCACATACTGAAATCAGAGACTCTACCGAGTTCACAGATAGCACGATGTTTATCATGTTATTGTAGCAGTCATAAAATCTGCTATGTCAATCTAATTTGAGTTACTCGCTAGTTAAAGCACTAACTTGAGTGTAATATATTAAAGATGACAATGGTGGCAGTATTCCTTAGCGTTGTAGGTGCACCTACATAGGGTGCAGCTCTGCTCCCTCGCTTTCTTGGGTGGTATGGAAATAAGGACCTTCCTTTATATTGCTCCTGATGGTTGTTGCTTGCTCTGGGATACTGGTACGTTATATGCAACCTAGTCAGTTGCATTTGATCTGGATTATGTTTTGGTTATGCCTCTAGGGAGACTCGTCGTATGTTGGCAAGAGTGGTTTATCAACCGGGGAATCCAGAAACCATAGCGTCAGTGGCACGCTGGTACCTCCTGCAACATCTGTATGCCAAAGATGATTATGAATTGATAGATGTAAGACAGTCCATTTTATACAGAAATTGCATCTATTTACATTGAATGTTGTGCTTGCAACTTGAAAGTGGGGTAGAGGGAGGCTAAGGAGGTGCTGGCTCGTCTGCTGTAGACATTGCAATGTTTAAGGATTCTGTACTGACAAAACGTACCTCAATTTTCAGAATTGCATCCAGTTTGTTTGAAAGTCTCCCATTCCTCCGTGCAATACTAATGAAAAACAAACAGTACAATCTCTTTCTAATCCAAACTGGCAGGAATTCTAGTAGTGACTCTTCAGTAGTCACGAGGACCATTTTATCAGAATTTTACCAGAATATATTAATGCACTAAAAATGTTAATTCTCTGTAGCCTGGCTGGAACAGTGTGGTATCGTTGACCCAAAAGATCTGAACAGTAGAGTCCTGTACTTTCTGTGCTTAAGACTTTTATTATATCTGTAATGGTACATTATTTTCAGTATGTAGTAAACAGTACATTGGTTTCTGTTGACAGTACTTCACAATTGGATTTGGCCAAACTCACAAATCCACACGACTCATTCACATGATGCCAAGGGGAGTGGTTCATTTTGGTTTGTAATTGGAGTCACTTTGCTACTCAAACTCTGAGTACACTCTCCTAATAATCTCACGGCTGCCACTAGCACAATCAGCTCATTTGCCCAGATTAACAGCGGTTCCCTGATGAAATTTTGAATCCATAACTAAAGTGCATTTGGAGGTACAACACATCAAGTAGGCTCAGCGTTGACAAAAATTTATACACAGACACGCAGGTTCATAAAAAAAACTAGTATTAATGAGTTCAGATGATCCTGGTATGATCTCATTACACTTGCTTCTGCAAAGTCATGTATATGCCCACCAATGAGTACAATAACAATAATGACTAAAGATTTGCTTGATTCTACTTAATGGTTTTTGGTTTTAATATGTATAATGCGATTGGATTACAAGAGAAGTGCCAGAAGCTTATGAACATCTGTGAACATTAGGCTGTCATGGGAGCTTTTTTAACTAGTAGAAAAGCTGCAAATAAGAGATGTGGAAAATAAATCAAGGAAGTGTAAATTTAAATGGGAGAAGCAAAAGGACACCTTGGCAGTTTAGTTTAAGTAGCTGCAGGGAATGCTCCTATTTGGCAAAATTAGATTTATACAGATGTACTAGCAGGAAGTATATCCACAGGGAGATAGATCTCATCCAGCTCTGTGTGTTTCATTGCCAGCAGATAACTTAATAGTCAAACTTGGTCTCAGCCTCAAGTAACAGATGATGCCATAGTAGTGCGTTGCAAGTGACTACAGGTTTAGCAACTCACTACAGGGTGGGCATTTTAAGTGCCTCATGTCTGAAGCGAGTTGGTGTGTCATATTGTATATTTCGTATCTGGGCTTATGGGTTACTTAAATCTTTTAGGGAAACTGCGTAGCAGAAAGAAAAATGCATTTGCGATTGCCAGTGAAATACTAACAGTAAAATTACAAAAATCTCATTTTTTCATTGTTTGTTTTTCCCTGCAGGTACTTATAGAAAATGCCAAAGCTAATGGGGATGTTAGAGCTCTGGAACTAAACGAGAAATTGTCATCAAGTGCCTAGTATGGACTATCTCAAGTGAAAAATCTTCCATTCATGCAACTTAATGAATCCATCTTCCACAAGTGTATGTGGTTTCGGCTTTTTTATTTGTTTGTGTCTGGTTTTGGTTTTTTTGTTGCATCAACTGCAACTTTGTCTTTAGTGTTACTTATGCTTGAACAAAAGTAGGTTATTTTCTTCTTTACATGGGTTCCACCACAAAAAGGAAAACCATGAATTTTGCTTTTTTCTTCCACACTGAAACTTCAGCGCTATTCGCAATGGAGAGTACTCGTCTTTATTTCTTCCTTGACCATGCACAGAAGTACAATATTAACTGCATTGGCAGCGATGCAGTGTTGAAAAGGCTTCTACTTTTTTCTTTTTCTTGGCACAGAATCTTACTAGCTAAGTAGCAGCAAACTTTTCTTCTCTCCCAGATAATGTAAAACATTCAGAGATTTAAAATGCCTGTATTCCTCTGGTATACTTTGTTTTGCAGTTGAAACCCATATCCACTTGGATCTTCATGTGTGGTGTCACTTTATACTTTTGAAAGTACTTTAATTTTTCTTTAATCTTAATTACAGCAGTGTATCCTCTTGACTGCAGGCTTCAGTAAACATTCCCATCAAGAAAAACTTGTGATTGTCAGGGATAGAGTCATATGTATAAATGTGTATAATGGGCTCTATTTATGTCTTGGTAATTCTGCTGCCAACTGATTAATTGAATGAATCATGACAGTGGTTTTTAAGACGTGATGTCATATTGCCTTTATGTACATGAAAATAAAAAGATGACTCTTCTCTGTTAATGTTACCATTGGGATTTTCAAGCTGTTGACAAGAGTCACAATAGCTGTGTTTCCTGGTTTAAAGTCTCTTAAAATTACTGTCTGTCCACCAAAGTCTTAACAGAGAACAAAGGGCGCTTCCAAGGTGTGCAGTGGGACTGCATTGAACATAGACTTGGTTTAGGAACCGGTTGTATCAGGCTTAAAGCACGCAGGATGGCGAGTTCGGGTGCATGGGGTGTGCGTCTCTGCGAGCAGCCCTGTGCAGGGATCTCTGGAAAGCAGGCGAGAGCCACGAGCCTGCCACTGCCATTTTACAGAGGAAGACTAAGCTCAGCAGGCTGGGGTTTCTACTCTGTGGAGGTGAGTGGAAACCTCTCTGAATGGCAAGAATCCCTCATCTCCCACACTTTCCTTCGCCCACCCATCTCAATGCAAATACCTTCCTTAAAAAGATGGGGTTTTTTGGTAAATTTAGATCGATTGTGATTCCCTTCACAGCCTGCTGTCACATAGTCTTGAACTCTCAGTAACTGCGGATATTAAAAGGGAATGTTGCAAAAACCAGACTCGTGACTCTCAAGACTAGCTGTAACTTTTTTTTAGCTCGCTGCTATTAAAAGCCTGAAAAAGTTCTTTCAGCCTGTAGTTCGTATCCTTGCCGTATGGTCTTGATATTTGTGCCTCCTACTCGAGCGGTGGGAGAGCTGTCATCACCAGCCTGACGACAGCACAGTAAGCGGCTGCTTGCCCTCGTTAATGCGTTAGGCAGAAATGCTTGTACTTTGTTCAGCACTAAACCTTAAATACTTTCTAACACCTAGGAGAACAGGCCCAAGAACTAGCTAAGTCACTGTCAACTGTGAATATTCCCTATTAGAAAAAAAACTGGTACTGTGTTTTTTCTCTTCAGAAGACCCTGAAGTTACTTTTACTGTGATCAGTGATGAACTCCTTGAACAAGATAATTATACAGCCCAAAGTTGTATTACATGCCCTATAGGAAAAAAAAACACAACCACGTATCTCTAACACCTACTCAGTGAAAAGTGCTCAGGGAACATGAGTTTAAGCTTCTGTAAAATCCAACAATATGAGGTGAAAATCATGCTTTCCTCATTTTTTAACCAGGTGTAGCCTCTACAAAATCCGCACTTGTATGAAGTCTGCTGTAACACTGATAACCTGCACGAATTTACGAGTTTTGAGACAGCCTGATATTTTATACTACTGCAGAGCTCAGGTTAGAATGCGAAGTACTGTACAAAGGCACATAAACATCACTGAGTTGGGGAACAGAGAGTTTTTTATGGATTTCACTGCCTGGGAAGTCATACGTTCAGCTGCTATTACTGTGTAAAGGGGAAAAAAAGAAACATTCCCCAACTGTAATTTGTTTTATTATATTGGCTTACGCTGAAGGCAGAATGGAATGAGATCTAATGAATTTCAAGGTAGACCTCTTCACCACTTCAGATATGAAGGATTTTGTATGCTTCTTACATTTCCTTTTATACAAACACAAGACAATGGCTTGCTTCTGAGAATTTTATTTGTTTATGTGGGTCATGCATGGTCATCTCATTCTCTGTATAGCCCAAGAATTGCTTGATTGGATTTCTACTCAACTTTTTGAGCTTCTCTCAAAATGATATAATGAAGTACAGTGGGCAATTGCATTAATTTAGATAGTCTTCCTAACCTTAGAGTTTAACAAAAACACAGGTGTATACTTCTGTCTTCCCAATACTTTTGCTTGACAACTTTTATGTTTAAAAAAAAAAAATTTTATTTTTTTTTTTTAGTTCATAGATACAAAACTCTTGAGAACTGTTTTCATGCTGCACAAGTGCACCTTTGCAAGGAAAAATACATCCCTAATCCTGCCCTCCAGTCAGATACTGTCCTGGATATCTAGAATTTAGCTTTTCTTCTTTCCCAGTTAATTTGCTTTCTACTGATTTAACCGAAGAGCCGACAGTTAAATAACTTTTAAATTTAGTCTTCCCAAGGGAGAGAGGGATCATTTTGAGTTTGATCACAGTGTGGAGTGATAAATACTGGGAGAACTCCTTTATGCAGTGAAGTCAGTCAAATATGTGTTCATGTGTGATCTGAATTTATAATTAGGCCCTCAACCCTTTTGCTATAGTCGTACAAATCAGTGCTTAGACAAAGCAACATTCGGTTGTGCAGTACCGCTACATGAAAGGATGGATGGATAGATAGGAAATGTGTGGCAATATTTCTGTCTTTTTCTCTGTTCCAGAGTTAAACTCTGAAGGTTGTCCTGGCTTTTTTTCTTTCCTTTTTTTTTTTTTTTTTTTTTTTTTTTTGGCATCATGTGCTTTTGGAAACGCCTTCATCAATAACCTTGTATTTCACCATTTTGCTGTTCCTCGATGTACTGGGAACCACAGCATCCAGGGTACTCGGTGGAGAGGCAGATATACCGAGCTGTACTAACTGCTGCTTTACCAGCAGCCAAGTACCTGGGCAAAAAAAGGCAAGAGTGCCTAGAAGGAGCTAACGAAAGACACTTTGGGAGGTTGCCCTCAACCCCAAATCTCCTGCTATGCCTGCGCTAATGTCTCTAAACCTATGCTGAAGGCAGAGCCCCCTGTAATGGACACGACATACACCGAGACCAAAATATGGATTCAGAGCAGCTCAGAAACTGCAGCACGCTGTTGGGATTTCGGTGTTGCTGGTTTCCTGCTGCTTGTAGAAAATGTGACAAACACGGACCTGACCTGAAAGCAGCCCTGAGGCTGGGAGTCTTTCCCATGCAGTTCGGCTCTAAAGGACCTGGCCACAAACAACGTGCAGAGAGGTCATCTGTGACTTTGGTAGCTGTTCTTTGCCTTTTACAAGGTGCAAGTGATTACTCACTGGAGCAGGTTTAAATGTACCGAAGTTTCTGCTGGCAGGAGCAACATCATTAACTGCTGAAGTGGCATTCCCTACTGACTGCGCCAGTTCGGTTTCGGCTGTCACGCTGTGCAGGTCTGGCTTCTCAGAGAAGCCACCTGAAGTCCATGGCTTTGAGAAACCTGCCTTTCTGTAGGGCAAAAAGCACAACAGACTTGAGGTACAGATTATTGGAGGAGGATTATCTGAGCCCTTTTGATTTTCTTCTCTGGGCAATGGACGGTATGGGGCTCTCTGGAAACAAAAGTACTGCAGAAATTCAGGTTTCTATTGCAACTGCATTGTGACCTCCTTTTTTGGCCCCTCTGCTGAAGGACTCATACTAGCTTCTGTTGGGGAGGTTACACTAATATGTTTCTTTTGCCATACTCCCAGAGCTTTTCTCAGTATTTCCAGATTGTTTTTCCTGTTTTTCAAAGCAAAACAAAACCCACAATATCAGTTACATTTTTAAGTGTTCCACTGCAAACCACCACTAACTTTTATTCAGTCAAACGGAGAAGATGAGAGGTGATCCTTCTTAATAGTCCATCTGCTAATAATTAAATTGCATTTTATCACCTGTACCCAATTTATTGGCTACTTTTATTCGCCCAGTAACTTATTACAATAGGTCCAAATCATGTATCAGTAGCTATTCTGATACCAGTTTTCATAATGCTATGTGGAGCTGGAGGAATGTACTCGGCCTGATTCAATATTTACACCAATCTAAAACTGATGTAGTTTATGGCTGGAGTGGGCTAACCACGCTTAATAACTGAGTGCTTTTTTTCTTAAAGTCCTTTGGAGTAATATGAATACTTTTGTATGAAATCTGCTTGTAAAGTTTTTTTCTTCTACGGTGACATACTCTGTTGTAAAATTGGTCATTGGAAAATGACTGTTGGTGTGATTTTGTGGCTGCGCAATATCATAACTAGCAATAACATCCTACAAGGACAGGGCAAAACAAAGTCAGGTGTGTCTAAAGGCTATTTCTTTCTTTAACCCAATGCCGCTTCTCACTGGAGAGAGCACCGGCAAGAGCTGATAAGGCTTGCTGTTGGTGTTCAGTCTTCCAGGAGGTCACTTTCACTGTATCTTTTTCATGTCTTTCTGAATTTTCTTTTTTTCAAGTTTCAGCTTTGTGTTCTGTATTTGTGTGAGCAACTCCAGAGACTCGTGAATGGATTGAAACCCTGTAGAAGAATAGGAACAATTAATTAAATAGTGATTGCTTTCAACACATTAAAAGATTCTTCTTTTTCTTTGCGAAGGTTTCTGACCCACGTTTAATACAGAGCACATTAAATCCAGTCTGCTTCATCATTTTGTTGAATAGCATGGACATGCATTAGCAGCTTGGGTTGCAAGCTCCTTGCTATAGGAATCGTATCTTCCAACACGCTGGACAATATCAAGCATGGTTACACACAGCAGTAAACTGCAATTGACATTACATTGGTGATGGTGTGGAGGAAAGAAAATACCCTCTGTCTTTAAAACCAAGCTTTTAAAGTGGATTTTTTTTCCATTGAGCATTGGGGGGTTTTTGTTTGGTTTGGTTTTTGAAGTCTATAGTCCTTATTTTGAAGCAAAGACTCAGTGTTCCTATCGGATACTAACAGTCTGCCTACCAGATAGCAAGTTTGGTGCCATGGATCTCCCAGAGTTGCAGCAACTGTAAACAAGGGTTACACTTCATCGGAGTTGGACGCTGTTTTGTTGTTTGGGAGAATGGGAGCTCAGCGTCACCAGCTAAGTGTTAGTGCATGTGTATATAGCTATATAAAAAGAGCGGGAGAGGAGTGTGCAGACAGATCTTTTTTCCAAAACAGAGCTACAGAGCACCTGATGCACTTTTTTTTGGACCACTGTACGGTCAAATATTGTCAATAAAGACTGCAAAAGTATAATTGTAAGCTGCTGTTACCTAGCTGTTTCCAGATTGCAGTAACGTTCAAATTACAACATAGTAGTTCTTTACATTTGTCCAGCATGTCACATAGGTGTTAACTTATTAGTGAGCAAGCAGCCTAACAGTGGATTAAAATTAATTCTCTTCCTCTATTTTTTTCTTAAAGTCCTTATTGTAACATGGCAGCTGATGTCATGTTTTTCTTTTTGGAACAGTTGTTTAATATGGATTAATTTTGTCACTGCTACAGTCTAGATAGTCTTCAACCAAATCGCTGCATAGTGCTTAGAATTTTATAAATTCCAGACATGTCTCTGATTTCCAAGATGTTAGTGTGTGCTGAAGCACAAACAGCTGCTGAGACAGTCTAGAGGCTGCCTCTGTGCCCTTTTTGCAGCTCCATACCTCTTCAGTGGCCTCTTTTCCCCCTTTTTGGATGTCAGCCCCTGCCAGAGGACTGCCGTGGGAAAGAGCAATCCTTGGACTTCAGTTTGAACACGAGCATGGCCAAAGTTCGGTATAATGAGATCTCTTCTGTCATTGATTTCTGCAGGAGAGAATTTGAAGTTAAGAAATCTCTCCTTTCAGCACCAGAATCTTTTATTCTGAAATTTCTTAGCCACGGCTTTCTTTGAGATGCTGTCTTGTGCTCACTCAGATGGTCTTGTAGGCAGTTAAGCCTTCCCATGTCAAGCTGCAGGGAGACCTTAGCTAATTTAGAGCTCGGTTTGCTACTGCCTCGGAGCAGGGCTTGTAGGTGGGTTGCAGATGATGAAGGAATTGGAGCTGAAGTAAAGAGCTGGGGTCCTCAATCAGAGACAGCTTGGAAGATGAGAACCAGGCGCTTGCGTTTCAAGTGAGAACATGTAAGATGTGAAGCCCTTTTTTAATGATTTGCAGCCATCTGTTCCCTTGGAGAGAGGGCTGAGTGATTTATTTGGATAACCTGATGTGTCCACTGTGTTTCCACGATCAGCTGCAAGTGGAGAGCATTACAACAGATTACAGTGAGCAAAATCTTCCTTGTGAAGGCTGTGTGCTCAGTGCCAAGTGAAAGCCTTTCTCATTGCTTCTGAAAGTTGAACAGCCAGGATCACCTCAGATTGGTAAAGTAGTTCATGCTCTGTGAGATACGTGAATGAGACTGTCCCCGTAAGAAGCAGCTGCTTTCTACTCGAACTGCCTCACTCTTCGCTTGCACAATGTACGGTCTGTGTCAGGTAGCTGTAACTCATTCAGGTGCCTCTTTCTCCAGCTACTCTTGGTTGAGAACGGCGAGTAAAGGATGGAAATGATACAAAACCATCAAACACGATCTCAGCAGCTGGATCTGTGCAAAAGGGAATGACTTGTAATTCCCAACAAAGGTTCGGGACCTTGCTAACAGAAGAAATAGGTGCTCTAAAAAATCTAGAAAGTGGGTTGTGAAATTGCCTTTTAAATGATCTTACCTTGAGACTCTTAGGAAGAGAAAGCAACCTGTGCGCATATGTCATGCTGGCTGTTTGCAAAGACAAGCGGGGTAACCCATACACTCCTGTATATGGGGTTTGGGAGAGACAAATAGTCATTTAAATGTCTGTCTGTCTTTACTGGAAAGTATTTTCTGCAGCAGCAAGTTACTGTAGAACTTTATTTTAAAAATAAATTGCATGAAAGCCCATCCTTACCTGATTTGTATTCATCTTGGATTTCTTCAAGCTCCTTCCAGATCTGTCTTTCAAATCTGGTGATTCTTGCATGCAGGTTTTTTTCATCGCTTCTCATCTGGTTCAACTGCTTTTCATATTTCTGTGGTTTATCCATTTGTTCTAGCTTTAGTGACAGAAGTAGGAGCTTTTCTTCTACTCTTTTTTCTGCTCTTTCCTTTAAACGCATAACACAGGTTTATAGTAAGACACTTTACGAATGCCCGCATTAACCTGCCTCCTGCCAACCATGCGTTCAACCAGTCTTGCTTCCTAATCCCCTGCGTGGCAGCACTGAATAAACGTAGGTGAGGTCTGGTACCCCAGAGGACACGTCAATCCTCACTTCCCCAACAAACCAAATAAAGAGGGAAAATGGGGCTGGGCCAGGACGAAGGTACTTTAAAAATTATTATTTTATTTATTTATTCATTTAAACCCAGTGATTTGTTGTGACATTTTGCAGCGTGAGACTGGGAATTCAAACAACCCTTTTTAGGTTTCTTTTATGCGCCCCATCTGAAGTCCAAGCTTTCTGACCCGAGGGATGCAACGCTGTGGTGTAAACCCAGCTCAGCTGCTGGCACGAAGAAGGAGGCTGAGCCCTGTAAGAGCGGACTAACGGAGCAATGGCAAGCAGACCTCCTCATTTTTGAGCTCAGCACAGCTCTTGGAGGCAATTCCCCCTCCTCAGAGGTGTGCTCAAACCTGAGCTGCTCAGCTGCCCACCCCTTCCTTCCTCTTCAAGTCGCACCGAGTCCTCTGGTCACCTCCGAATCTGATCAATACGGTCAAAATCCTCCAACCTTCTTTAGCCCCTGCAGCCCAAGGGAGTCCTGTGGGCCCAAGGCCATGGCTCTGCCTCCCAAGGAAGGTGTTTGCAAACCTGGCAGAGCTGTGCTTCCACTGAGAGGACATCCAGGGGACCACCGTGCACGCTTCTGCGTACTGGTGCGCGTACACAGAAAAACAAATGCATTCCTTATTCGGCCTATTTAAGAAGGGCTTTGAGAGCTTTAACTCCTGTTAACGCTGTATTGTTTGGCACAGCAGTCTCCCTGGGAAGTAACCACATATATTGGTGTGTTTTCTGCCAAATAATCTCAAAAACTTTTAGTGGAGGAAGGCAATTCAAACGGTAGCTTTGAGAGAGAGCGGCTAACAAGTCAGAAATGTTTTTAACATCTTCCTGGCTGCACTAACTGTTGGTTGCATTGAGTGCAAGAGATGATCATCAGGGACAGTAAACGGAGATTGAAGTTCAGGAGCGTTTTAGTTCCAGGCAACTCCTGAATCTGGTCTTTAATCAGCAGCCTTCATCCTGGTGCTAAGACATGGTGATGGTGTTTTGATCGCTTTTGAACTCTGAAGCGGAATGAACTGCACACAGCAAAGGAGGAAAAACTTTACAAGCTGTGAAGGAATTAATTAAAAGGCATTGGTCCTGTGCCAAGCGCTAACTGCTGCTGTGGAACCGAAACACGCTGTGTTTTAATGTACTGACCGCAGGATGGTGAGGGTTTTACTATATTTAAAACCAGGCAGAATTTGCATAGACGATCCCTTCCTTTGCTGAGCTCATCACTGAATGAAACTGGGTGGTGTTCAGTGGTGGCACCGATGCTCACCTTGGGACAGGTCAACGCCATTGCCGGGTACATTGGGGCTACACCGATGTGAAGCGGTGCTGTAATCAGGGAGGACTTTATATCCCGGGGTGCCCAGAGCTTTGTGGGATCTCCATCCTCAGAAACAAAAATCACTTGGATGAGGCTTGAGCCCTGACTTTGCTGTTGGCCCTGTTTGAGCAAGGGCTGAACCTTATGATTTCCAGATATCCCTTCCAAAATAAATTACTCTATGATTACATGATTTCCACAACTCATCCTTTTGCTGCCCATGTCCTGAGGCACCTGGTTTTGTGTTAGATCTCGGGTTTTGTGTGCATGATTTGGTACCTGCTGGGATCAAGGTGATGGGACCAGTGGGTGGAGGCCACCCCAGTGCCCGGGGCTGCTGCCCTGGAAAGTCTTACCAGCCTCTCCTTCACCGAGGTAAGGAGCTGATGCCTGTGCTGGGCTTGATCTTCGACAGACCGTGTCAACTGCGCTTCTGTCCACTTCCGATGAGTCTGTATCTGATCCCTGAAGTCACTCAGAATACTTGTCAACCTAAAATTATGATTATTTTTTTAGCAACAAGACTAAGGCTTAGTCAGTGTTATGGAGGAGTCTTGAGTCACTTGAGTAAATTGTTTCCGTTACTTCAAATCTCCTCAATAGCTTCCTAACAAGCCCTAAGCTCAATTATTTTATTAATCCTTAACTTGAAGGTTGCACCTACATGTCAAAATGTGATTTCTGTAGTGTGGTCTACTTTAGAAATATATCTGAGGGTCTGTTCAGGCTGGAGAAGAGAAACCTGAGAGGGGATCTCATCAATGCTCACGAACACCTTCAGGCTGGGTGTCGAAAGGATGGGGCCAGACCCTTTTCAGTGGTGCCCAGCGACAGGTGAAGGGGCAACGGGCACAAACTGAAGCTCAGGCAGTTCCACCTGAACATGAGGAAGAACTTCTGTACTGTGAGGGTGGCCGAGCCCTGGCACAGGAGGGTGTGGAGTCTCCTTCCCTGGAGATGTTCAAAACCCACCTGGACGTGTTCCTGTGCAACTTGGTGCAGGTGACCCTGCTTTGGCAGGGGGGGGTCAGACTGGGTGATCTCCAGAGGTCCCTTCCAGCCCCGACCAGTCTGGGATTCTGTGAGGGCTGAAAAATACTAATTTCCCATGGGAATTAACTGTGTTTGACGCGGATGAAGAAACTACCCATTGAACATCATCTCTTGGGGAGAGCAGCAAAATCACTTGTGGGCTGAAAATGAAGTTCATAAGGATAAAAAAAGCTTGTAAGTAAAACAAAAAGAGAATGCAGAGTTGCCTTAGAGGCAGCAGTTGGATCGAAATGTGAAATCCCAGCCAAAGGGAACAGAGCAGGCAGCACCCGGAGCAGACAGGGAACTGCAGGCAAGACTGGTGAACAAATGCTACTTGGATCAAACCTGCAAAATGTCAAGTTACGGGGAACTATATGGTTTAGATTTTGCTTTTCTTATGCTGGAACATGTAATTTACAACGTGAACCGTGACAAGATGCGAACTTAGGTCCAAGTTGTAGTCACATACATCAATTTTCATGCTTATGATCTGACTGTAAGACTGTCACGAAAAATATCAATGGAATTGTATTTATTTCTAACACATGCTTGCCTGCAAACAATGATTGCCTGAAATTTGTTTGGGCCTCAGGATACATCCAACAGGTAAGGGGCAGGATTTCATAACTAGGCTTGATCCTTACGGCACTTCTAATATTTAGTATCACTTTTCAAAAGGGTGTTTGAGTTAAAGTGTTTTTTATAGTGAGTGATTGATAAAAGCTCTGTATCGGTCTAATGAAGTGATAATTATCATCAGTGGTCACTGTAAATGTGGTAAAAAAAAATCCAGGCTAGCAAAATCTCTCTAAGTGATATGTTATTGCAGTCTGCTATAGACATTGCCTTTTCAAGATCTACATAAGTAGCCCTTTAGGCCAGTTTATCACTATTACCCATTTTAGTAGTTCTAAGATTCGAGTTTTCAAGAATAAAAACTGGTAGTACTGGGTTTGTCGTTTTTAGTCCAACCATGCACATGTGAACATGCACACAGTTTGCGTCCTGGAGCACTAATCTTTGTTCACGAGAAAAGAAAAGCGATCCTATGATAGTACGCCGATGATACAGACCAGTATCCAACCTGAGCACGGGGAAGGCAGGTGTAAAGAGCTTTTCTGAGCCCTAACAGTGAGACATCGGACTGCAGTGACAGGAATCGCCACCCAAACCCTAATCTGGAAAAGCCAGGTAGGGTTGGACACAGTGCTCTGTCAAAGCCACCACTGCCTGCCCTAAGGTCGTTGTCCATGAGCCCAGGACCACCGTACCCAAGGATCCGTGAGCGGGCTCGTCCTCACAAGAGTTGTTACAGCTCTCTTCGACCGCCACAGCAGGGAATGACAGGGCTGGTACCTCTTCAGACAGGTCCTTCATGTGGTTATTTTCATCTATATCTACAACTATAGCTATATAATCAGGAGATTTTGATCCATCAGGCATAAAACAAAGGTCTCGTACCATTGTTTGTGTTAAGATTACTGAACAAGTTTGAGGAATATCATTTAATGGGTGAAGATGAATGAACCGTGAATGACAGAATTGATGGTCAGCTTTGCTCAAAGGCTCGAAACCGAACTTGTGTAGTTGGCAGCTGGCGTTTGACTTTTTGCCTCAATTTCTCTGAAGTTAGAAAAGGGAGAAGAATGAAATATTTAAACCTAAAAATTAATTATTTCAGACTATGTTTGGGCAACTTGGAAAAGATTTGGCAAAGTCTGCCTTGGGGAGAAGGCGGAGAACAGCAGAAATGACTGACTTTCTAAAAAGTTATTTAACAAATACTGAAAATGATTGCTATGAACCGCACTAGCAGTTACGTGAGGTTACACAGCCTGAGTGGTTCAGACCAAACGATCACAGGGGTCTCTTTGGGACGCAAATCCTGTGCACCGCAGCCGGCGTGTGGCCCTGCTGAGGAGGATGAAGGCGGCTGGGGCCCATCTCGAGGGACACGCTTGGCAGTGACAAGATGATGATTAATACTACTGTTATTATCAATATTGTTGATAATATTAATATTTTATATTTTAACATGAACGATTTCTTATTAATAATAGAACAGTACCATATTTTGTTTTATTTTAAACTTTCTTCAATTATCATCCCTCCTGGATGGAGCTTACAAAAATGTATCTAGCAGGAGCGAGGCTCCAGAGCCAGAAGACTCGCCATAGTCTTTGGCCCAGCAAAGCCCTGAAAGATTAATAAGCGGATACTTGTGGATATTTAATAACAGCATACTCCAGTAATGCTACAATAAATTTTAACATGTGAAAAATAGATCTATTGGCAATTGATTTGACTCTGTGCAGCTGAATGCAGCTATTCCAACCTAACCCACCCCGAGAGATAAGCATCCACTCCCCTCTGAAGGGCCAAATTTCTGAGCAAATCCCATGAAATCCTGAAATATGTTTAAAATTCATCTGGTTTTCAGTAAAAGTATCAGTTTGTACATTTACCATACAGCTGCCAGACTGCAGTCAAAGATGACTGGGTCCCAGACAGCTGCATGTCAACTGAAGAGGTAACTCTGGGCTTTAAAGCTGATTTAAACAAGCCAAGTTTTATGTGGAAGCTCCAGTCTGTTCCAGAAGTTAAATTTTGTCTTGGCTCTATAAAAAGAATACATAGATCTGCTAGACTTTTAAAGGAGCAATATAAAAGGAGACAGACATTCCCAAAAGGGCATGCTATTTTAATTAAATTTTATATTAACTGGAATAAAATCTTTATGTTTAGTAAATAACTACTTTGTTTTTTGTGTTAAACACACAGTGCCAGCACATCTCAGTGTCTTGAGAGCCACCTCTTTTCAAGCCTCCTTTTTCTGATGACAATTTCGCTAAGGTCTCAGTAACTTTTGAGAAACTCGGCATCCAGTTCAATTCAGTTTTCCAATTTCTTTCTTTCCTGTCATTGTTCCGTTTTCCCTTCCCTCTTCTTTTGGTTTTGTTTCTTGTTCCTGTCACATCATCCTGATCTCCATCGTTCACTTCTCTCCATCTCCCTGTTCCTCCTTCCCTTTTCCCGATTTTAATTCATTGCCCACTTCAGCTGTTACTTCCCCATTCACCCCAATTCCTTTTACTGTTCTTTCGATGAGGACTTTCTTCTGTTTAAAGTTCTAATCTATTTTCACTTCTGAATACAATTCAGATAAAATCTTAATTAAAATAAATCTTTATTCAAATTCTTCACCATTTCAAGGAGTGGAACTATTGCCTTCGAAATATCATTATTACAGGATTATTATAATTAGATTTTAAATCATTTGTGCTGGCTCTGCTATTCAATGCTGGGCTGTTTTGCATTGTTCTGAATATGGATGCCAGATACTTTTGTTCATTGCATCCTTCGCTGGAGCTCTCTCCTCTGTAAAACTCACCAAGATTAAAATGGCACCCTAAAAATACTTCTGCAGCTAGAACAGGAAAAATATACTAGGTAGGTAAGGAACAAATAAATCACAAATCTGTGGGGGCAGGAGGCTGTGCAGCTGCCTCACCCTTGTGCCCACCGTTCTTCATCAGCAGCACCCCTGCCCCGGGCGGCTGTCTCAGAAATGGGCAGACAGTGCAAGTGCATAAAGAAAATGTCTTGTTCTGCACATGAGGCGAGTCACAAATTAGCCCCAATTATAATGGCAAATAGCGTCTTTGTATTTGCTGCCTTTCTTTTAAGTACGGAAAGTTAATTGGTTTCATATTTTTCTTCTTACAGGGTGGCATTTAGTGTCTCATTTTAACAATTAGCTTGCAAGACAATATACTCCCATTATGTATTTTCATTATTTTATGGCATAGATGTTCATTAACCTTCTCAGTGTTTTGAATGGATGTTAATTACCAGGTTTGTTTTGCTGTTTCATGGCAACTTGTTAATCACACTAAAGCATTCAGGGTGAATTATCATAATGAAAAACCCTCCATCACCTACTTGAAATCCAGAAGTTGCAGTTCGTGATGTTGATCTCCCTGGACTGCCTTTAAATTCGAGCTTTGATCAGAGTTGGAAGTCTCTATCTTGCCTAACAGCTGCATTACCTAACAAGAATTCAACAGAGAAAGCCTTTATGAGCCAGACTATGCGAACTTACATTTAAATATGCATTATGATTGCAAACGTGGAAAAAAACAGCTAACATCAAGGTACAGCTACACAAAAATGAACTTTTCTTGCAAATGATTTCATTCAGTTAAAAACTGAAGACTTGAGCTCAGAGACACCAAGGCTGTAAGACCTGGTGAAGTTAAAGTCTTTGCGGATGCAGGCTTCGCGATTACATACGACGCTTTTCTTTTAATTTGAACGAGGCATTAGGCACTGCTCAAATCTCCCCAACAGTGGCAGGAACCAAGGGGTAAATCCTTGAAAGCGCGAGTGTGTTGCAAAGTGTTGGCTGTCCAACACTGGATCCCAAGAAGAGCCAAGAGAGGAGAGGCTCACCCGCAAGAACAGATGCTTGGGTGGCTGCAGCACTCGGATGGTGTCTGGAGGACCCCATTCAAAGCATCTCCCCCCTCTCACGGCATCCAGGCTGGGATGAGCACCCCTGGCTCTGCGCAGCCCTGCGCTCTCTAGGCTGTGGGATATCCCAGGTACTGGGTGCTCTCCCACGCTACTTCGGTTGGAGATGCCCCTTTCACGAGATCACTCATTGCTGAGGTGACGGGAAAAGAGACGGTTTCAGCAAACCCAGCCCACGGGCTGAGGGCTCTCGGGTGGGATGCCGGGAACAAGGTGGACTCGAGAGGTGCAGCCAAGCACCCCACGTGCTGCAGGGACAGGCACGCGAGCTCCTCTTTGACAGTGGTGGCCTCACCGGGCAGGAAAAGCTGGAAACATCCCATCTCAAGAGCTGGAATTTCAGCCCTCGGAGGGTCTGGCAAGCCAGGGCCCTGAGTTGGTCCTCCATCATCTGCACACATCTGCCTTTGCACACCACCATTGGTGTGAAAACGGGATGCCGAGGGCTCCCGACGCATCAGTGACGCAGCGCAGTGAAACGGTTTGGAAACACTGTGGATGCTCCAGCAACTGCATCTGCTATTTCAAGAGAAGTTAGATGTCCATGTGCCCCTGGAAGGTGGAGTGTGAGTGCCTCAGGAGACTGGAAGCCACCAGAAACCCATTTCTCACATGACCTCACCTTCCAGGAGCTTTCCCTGTGCAACCCGGGTTATGTTGGCTGCTGCTGCAACCAGGCATTTGATCCTGAAGGGCATCTGATGCAAGGGATGAGGCATTCGGCCTGCCTACCCCTGGTTAATTCATAAATTACAGAGGATGTGAAATTCCAGCAGTTTTCTTCAGAGATTTTACTACCAAATGAGGACAAAAAATTCCTGGTAAGGAGATGCTACTGCCTGCTTGGTAGCCATGGCACGTCAATGTCAAAAAGGTGCCACTAAAGACTCGTTACATTGACTTGGTACCTTCTTCCTTTACAGCAACAGATGACTCCTTTTCAGAAATCCTTTCCTTTCTTCTTTCCTACAAAAATGTGAGAATATTTTTTTCCCTTTTCAGCTGAGGAAGTTTCTTCTACATCCTGCTCCATGTCTAGCCTGACTTATTTTTACATGATTTTGTGTACTGTTTCATGCAACTCTGACATAAGCATCTGCTCCCTTCCTCATTTCCAGGTGAAGAAGAACATTTGTTATAGGTATTCAAGGAGACAGATGTCCAAACAGTGTCTTTTAACAGAAGTCCAGGTAAGACATCTTTGTTTAAGTTCTGTCATGAGTAATTTTTCCTTCAAAAAGAGGACCTTGGGTAGGCAAAGTACACGATGACTGGCACTGTGCCTTGTACAGCAGAAGATGCAGTCAAAATACAGTAATGAGATTATATCCGATGCCAGAGTGCATGGGAAATTGCACGTCCCACATCTGCTCAATCCTGGCAGGCACAGGCGACGTCTAGTTTGGAGCAGGAGCACAGAGCCCTTATGCTGCGGCTTTAGAAAGATGAATTTTACAGTACAGCTGGATTCTTGTAAAATATTATTGCTAATGTTCCTGATCCTGCTAGAGGCTCTGAAACTGCTACTGAGCATAGTGAACCTCTGGCAAGGGAAGGCCAGCTACAAGAGGTGATAGGCAGTAGCTTGTTATCCACTGTTGGCTTACCCACTCCATGGAGAAAAAAAAACCACTCTCACAAAATCCAGCATTTTCCAAAACTTTTTCACTGTTACATTTTCAATAGCCTTTGAAATACTGCCAAAATTACTATGGCATTAGAGATACAGTATTAGATGTCCCCAGGCCACCACCCTAAAACTAGAGAAAAACCACTGGATTTAGATGGCCTTTTTTAGCTCCAAAATGAAAGCTGAAATTTCCAAATACACTTGAATATAAATCATACTGAGAAACAGTAACGGGTCATTTATGATCTGAGGATCCACAAATCCTAGAGTATTTTCATTATCTGTTATTACCTTACATCTATTTTAAACATCACTACCAGACGAAGGTCAGTGATGACTGGTGTCCCTCAGCAGTCTGTACTGGGACCAGCACTGTTTAATGTCTT